GGAGGGGGTGAAGGAGAGGATGTGGGGGGGGGGGGGGGGGGGGGTGAAGACACGATTTTCTACAATACTCTCGTACATCAGATTATAACACAGTCTAGGATATTCGACTTCAAACAGGATGAGACGATGCTGCTGCAGATAATAGCGCTGCCGCTTCTGTTGTTGATTGTCTTGAGCTCACTCAAGGCAGGAGGAACAAAGAAAAGGTGTTGCCGGTACCACGTGTGACCTTCTCCCATCTCGACACTACTTGGAGCCCCGAGGTCACTCCATCCGACAAGACAACTCCTGCCGTTCTTGGCTCAAAACCATGCCACCACCACCACTACCACTACCACCCCAACTTCTCGCAGGAGGACAAACAATATGAGCAGCCAACCTGCTATTCTTTCTGGTTGGTCGACAGAACGATACATCCAACCGCGTTACGATTGGTGATGTTGCTGCGCGCCGAGCGGTTCGGTCGTGGCGGCGGAATCAGAACACCGCCGTTGCCGCCCCCGCCGTACCTGGCGCCGCAAGCGCCTCCTCCTCCTCTACCTGTCCTCCCCGCCTTGCTCATGCTCGGACGGACCCAGGCTGTTGTCGGAGTCTCGCCTTGACCGTGATCGGTACATGGGCGGCAGCAGATGATATGAAGGCACGGTCAGGGCTACCTCCGAAGCCCGTGCTGTCACTGCTGCAAGGGGTGGCAGTGTTTGTTGTGCTTGTCCCACGTGGTGTCTCATCTGGGCAGGAGAAATCGGGCGAGGGAAGAAGAGGACGCTCGGTTCGTCATCGATTATCGTGCGATGCAACAAGCAGCAAGAGGCGTCTGGCTTCCAGCCCCAGGTTATGCCCAGGTACTGCAGAGCAACCCTCAGGGCCCACCACTTTGCAAATCAAGCCAGACGGCGCATTAGTGCCAACGCAACTACCGGTGTCGTGACGAAAGCGTACATGAATCGAATATGGCGAGGACGGTCAAAAAGGCATCCAAACCATAAAATCTCACGTCGTTGGAGTTCCCTCGCATCTATCGCCTGGGCAGCGGCAACGTACACTCGGTACTTTAAAATGATCCATTTCCAGGCCTGGACCAACTCACAGGGTCACCGGCCGGTTGCGATCTAACCCCACACAATGGCTTCGGAGGACATCTACAGAGCATACAATGACAGCATCATCATCGTCTGGTGACCGACTAAGCTTCGGAACTAACGTACCAGAGCACCGCCCATCAACAAGGACTTCAGTGGGCGAACGTTGGCATTGGACGCGAAAACAATACATCTTTCCCCTATCCGTACAAGCTCGCTCTACCATCGGCGACCCCCCTACGCCCTTGCCTCATCTAGAGTACCGCATCTACAAACGCGCTTCCGAGTACATGCAAAGCACATGGGTTAGACTAATTCTGTTCTCTCCAGCTCCGACGCGGGGTGAGAGCGGGTCGATATTACTATTGCAATCACGCGCCCACCTGGTTGTGCTCGTTGTTCTCCTCCGGGTACTGCTCTGCGGGACAGGGCCACCTCGAGTGCGGGAACGCCACATGGCCCTGCCACTCCTGCCGGCGCTGCTGGTCGGTATGAAAACGCGGCGCGCTGCTACCGTCCAGCTGTTCGCTATGCGCGTACGCGCCGAGGCATCGTTGGCCAGTGTCACCACCACCCCCTACTCCTGCGCCCCACCGCCCGAAACCGCCATGCACGGAGCTAGACCTGTCGCTACCGCCGCGGCCGTCGTCTCCGCGCATGCTCTGGTGCTGCTGCACCGAGAGCTCGCCGGGTTGTTTGGTCCCGGTTATGCCAGAAAGTAGCGACAGGACGTCGTCGAGCTTGCCGTTCGCCATCTCCAGGTCGACGCGCATCGAACCTACCTCCACCGCGAGGGTGTTGAGGATGTCTGACTTTCGTAAATCGTCTGAAGAAAGCAGCGGTGGGCCCAAAGAAAGGCACGCGGGGCCATGAGACAAGGTGGAAGGCGAACAGAGTGGCGGGGATCGTCGGAAACGATGGGTGATGTGCGTGACCGAGCAGTGATACATACCACCAAAGAACGATCTGTATCTGATGAGAGCAGTTCTACAGGGAAAAAACAGGGTAGTATCAACGCTCCTCTTGTGAACTGCGTGCTGACCGAATAAACGACTGTACCCCGGAGAGCCTGCTATGGCTTTCTATGCTTGTTTTTCAAGCGTACAGCCAAACCGCACCGGCCTCACCCATGCTCAGACGGTAGACGAATCTCAGATATTTTTTGTCCGGGGTTGACCTCACGGCCTCGCAGTCATCATAGTAGTTTCGGAGAGAAAGTCGTTAGAACTTGGGGGCCAACCCATCACGCCATCTTCATCTGGCTTTGCCGTTTCAGTGTTGGTGTGTAACCGGTACTTTCGTTTGACTTCCTGCTGTTGATCGTTCTTGCTCTACCCACCGGAGTCAGCAACTCGTACGAACTACCTCCTCGTCGATAGCATTCTCGGTTGCCACGGCGGTGTAACAAAGACACGTACGTGTGGATACAGGCCAGACCAGATCAGGTGCTGACGTACGAACTTGACGCTTTACATCCTTCTTCAAAGTGTGCGGGCGTGGACAAAAACTCGCACTGTGATACCCGGCCAACAACCCTCGTCTAACGCCTACCGTGAACGTGCGCGCACCCCCCACCGACACCGACTATCAACGTTCGATTTTCTCCGTAGCCAAGAGGGCGGGAAAAACCACCGATACCGATCCGTGGAACCTGTCGGAAGAGACATTTCTAACACCGCCGAACCCGGCGTTGGCTTGCTTGTGGCAGGTGGAACACTCGAGCTATGAAGGTCGGTCGGTCGGGCCGGCGGGCGGGCGATCACTTCGAACCTTTTACGGTGTAAGAGTAGATGTCGGTTGCTCCGCACAAGGGGATATTAATCAATCGTCAAGCCTCGCGTGAAAAGAAGTCGAGGGGTTCGTGCGTTCGTGGTGTTTCCGTTCCGTTGAGCTCGAACTCTTCATTTTCATTTCTAAAAAATACACGTATGCATGCAATCAAAACTTTTCGAGAAACAACCACAGCAGCTGTCGAAATAACGAAATAACGGATGAATGTGTCGTCACACCTTGTTTGCGTTTCAGATGCCCGCCGTCTTTCTGCCGCTTGATGCTAACCAGGAGATCCCTACGACCCTGGCGGAACTGAGGGTGCATGAACTCCTCCCAGGAATCAGAGCTCTCCGAGCGCGATGCCCCTCCCTTGACCTTCTTGAAGCCTTCGCGATGGATGCGAAAAGAGGGAAAATTGAAGGAAAACATTTTGAGTTAAAAGATCCGACTTCCTGCCGCAAGGGGGCACGGGCAGCGCGGCGGAGCGTCTCGCATGCGAGCCACCTCTCTCCCTCTACGTACCGCAACCGCCAAACCCTGCAACAAGGAGCGTGAACCACACGTAGTAAGTATGCCGCACGACACGCCAGGACGCTTCTTCCCTCAGGTCCTTTTCGACCTCGAATTCGTAGAGGACAACTCACCGTAGAAGTTGAGCTGCCGGACGAAGGAGAGGAAATTCTTGTGGTTGTAGTACGATGGCAGGAGCCCCTCGAACGCCAGAACCTGGAAACGGCAAGACACACGACGGCGAGGAAGCTTGACACTCTGTAGGACGGATGGGAGTTCTTACGCATATTTTTTGTGAAGGCTGTTGACCTTGTCGAGGGACGAACCGACGAACAACCACACACCATCGCCGCTAGCACGGCTGTTGACTCAAAACACGGGTAAAATCGGAGGGCGAAATCCGTGCTTTCGCTCACATGGTGTAACTTTTTTCGGCCCATACACATCCCATAGCAATTACACCAGCCTTCGAAGAAACGTCTCGTTGCGACGCGGCCATCATGGACTTGGCACGCTGTGGTGGCGATAGGTATGCCATCTGGTGGATTTCGTGTGTGGGGGGGTTTACAGTATTTTGTTTTCGTCCTGGAAAGGTGTTCCCGTCTGTTGGGTATGTTGGCTTGTGACCACGGAAGAAGAAGGCGTCCGTCCGCGTCAGTTGGATCAGTACGGGTAAGAGGAGGTGCTGACCGGAGACCGGAACGGTCTTTAAAGACAACCACAACAGCAACAACCACAACAATACACCTGCCTTGGTGGGCGCAAGATCGCAGGAAGAGGTTATTTTTTTTAATGCATCGCTAACAACGGGGTCCTGGGTCCAGGGTTCATCTCGTGTGTTGGTCTCTCAGCACGTGCTGACGCCTTCGATTCCTTTGCTATCACGAACGGTTCGATGGTTCATGGCTTGTTGGGGGGAAGCGTTCTCTACGCAGAGAGAACATTCCTCGGCGGGGGTGCTCTTCGATCGTCAAATTTTACCCCTACGCTGCTGGTCCTCGACTGTTCGACCTCTCCATGCGAAGCTTGCGAGATTCTGTGGTGGCGCGGTGAAACTTTTAAACCCTTTACACCCCCCGCAAGTTGAGCGTGGTCAGAACATGTGTGCGAGGTGGTACGTTGGGCACCGCCTCGAGCCTCAAACATAATTCGTGCTCACCCCAATATGTTGAGACCGCTCGGCAACGTAATGACCCACAACAAACACAAGAGGTATCTATACGCCCTCGGCCGCCAAAATTGGGCACAGTTGGAGTCTCGAATCGACACGTCGTGCAAGTTGTCCAAAACAGGTGTGTGTGGGAGAACGTTGCGGTGAAGGTTGGAGGTTGAAAGGAGTGCACAACGAAACTCTCTTCTGATCCACAGGCGTTCGTTCTTCGATGTTCACCATCCTGTCCATCGTCATGACGCACGCGCCTTCAAGGTAAAAATGGACCAGACCAAAGGAAGAAATTCCGGAAGAGACGACGGTACTATGTATCTACGTTACATTTACGTTGCATCTGCGCTTGGAAACAACTCCAGCTTATGAACGAAATGTGTGGTTAACTGAAATAGTTCCTTGCTCCACTTTTATAGGAAACCAACCCTGTTCGCATCGGGGGTGTTCCGATGGCGCATTGCACGGTTTACGGGGGGGAGGGTGCGGAAGGATCGTGAGAGTTTGTTCCCGCCGCCTCCCGCCTCCGCTGCTTTCGATATGCGTGTGTGTATCCACCGCCCACGCCCGCCAGGGTGCTCTAGACGATTGTCTACGGGATTGCGTGGTTTGCGTTTTCCTGGTGGTGGGCGAACACGTGTTGATGGAAGGAAAGATCATTTGTTTCTCCCACCAGTCGTGATAGCACCTAAACTGGACGGCCGCTGTGGGCCTCTCCGCGGGTCCCAAAGATAGCACTGCAACACTTCCAATTTACAAAATACACCTCCCGAAACGTATTCGCACCCAAGGGAACCAAGGGAACGCAAGCCATGCATCCAGTCATTTTGTGGGACTAAAAACACACCTCATATACTCATACAGGGAAACAGAGAACGCGTGCTCAGCCTTGCAATCTATGCACATGTCCTGCTCAAGGCCCAGGCGGCTCTTTGTCCCTTCAGCCTTGAAGTCCGTCCGTCAGTTGGCTGTGAATGTTGAACAAACATCAAATCTTCTCGGTGTTCGTTCCCTCTGATACGTACGTAATGAAGTAGGCCGTGGCCAAGACAGAAAGAAGCCGGTTAAACTATTTAACGCCCTATGCATATAATACCCCAAAGCCACACACGCCAGCTAAACAGGTCGTCGTTGGGCGGATAAATTCGGAGATTGGTTGCGGTTCCGGCGTAGGTGCTATGCTACATGGAAGGTTTGCCGTTGGGTGGATGAGTTGGAGGTTCTACATAGAGGTTGTCGGCGCTGATCGAACAAATTTGATGTGCTGTAGGTCGGTGTTGGCAATTCAATGTGGGTGGGTGCTACATACAATTAGGTCGTTGGTGATGCTTCGAGCAGGCTTGTACCATACGTCGCTGTTAGGTGGTAAACGGTCTGCGTGTGCAGCAGGCAGTCAGGCAGGTCTATATGAGGCGGGACGGACCGTCAAACTTGGGGGCGCGCGCCATCTCGTGCTTGCATCCCCGTGGCTGCATTGAGATTTTTCGTTGTTGTACAGACGCATGCAAACAGAGAAATACTACCCGTTCGAGATAAAATCCTACATCCCCTATCAACATACTGTAAACGGCGGATGGGTGAGTAGCAAAGACTTTCATTGAGCCAATGTATTTATCCCGCCGGTGGTGCATCGGGCGGCACCGAAAGAGTCAAGGTGGCTCACAGAATTCCCCGCGTGAGAGTAGGCGAGGGACAGACAGCGTAAACCAGAACAGGCAAACTAGAATTTTGCGCCCCAGACGTTTCCTACGCGAATTCTCAAGACGAGAATGACATAACATTCGTAATTGGCATGTAGATGAGTATTTTAGTCTGTGGGACCTTTGCACGATCCTAGTATGCATGGGTGCGTTTGGTGCCGACTACGGAGGTTCCGTTCCACAGTCAAGACCAGGGGGAAATGGGTCCAAAACGCGTGACTTGCTCCCAAAGTTTTCGCGAGTTACCCGCCCGCCGCACATGAATCTCTAATCTCTCCGAACGCGGCGGGAGATGGCCGGGAAACTCTTCGACTTCTAACTACGTAAAATATCTTGCTCTTTTGGTTAGGGAATGCGTACTCCGTTGTTCCGCGTGGTTACCACTGCAGAAGCAAGCAATAGGGCCTATTATTCCTAGTATTATTTTTTTCGTCCTGGAAAGGTGTTCCCGTCTTCTTGGGTATGTTGGCTTGTAACCAGTAAGGAAGAAGGCGTCCGTCCGCGTCAGTTGGATCAGTACGGGTAAGAGGAGGTGCTGAGCGGAGACCGGAGCGGTCTTTAAAGACAACAACAATAGCAACAACCACAACAATACACCTGCCTCGGTGGGCGCAAGATCGCAGGAAGACGGTTTTGTTTTTATGCCTCGCTAACAACGGGGTCCTGGGTCCAGGGTTCATCTCGTGGGCTACTGACGCCTTCGGTTCCTTTGCTATCACGAACGGTTCGATTGCTCATGGCTTGTTGGGGGGTAGCGTTCTCTACTCAGAGAGAACATTCCTCGGCGGGGGGGCTCTTCGATCGTCAATTTGTATCCCTACGCTGCTGGTCCTCGACTGTTCAACCTCTACATGCGGAGCTTGCGAGAGCCTGTGGTGGCGCGGTGAAACTTAAAACCTTTTACACCCCCCGCAAGTTGAGTGTGGTCGTTCGGCACCGCCTCGAGCCTCAAACATAATTCGTGCTCACCCCACCCCACCAATATGTTGAGACCGCTCGGCAACGTAATGATCCACAACAAAGCAAGAGGTATCTATATGCCCTCGGCCGCCAAAATTGGGCACAGTTGAAGTCTCGAATCGACACGTCGTGCAAGTTGTCCAAAACAGGTGTGTGTAGGAGAACGTTGCAAGTGAAGGTTGGAGGTTGAAAGGAGTGTATCTACACACGCAAAACGACGATAGATGTCACCATCCCGTTCATCGTCATGACGCACACGCCTTCAAGGTAGAAACGGACCACACCAAACGACGAAAATCCGGCGGGAGACGACGGTACTATGTATCTACGTTACACTTGCGTTGAATCTGCGCTTGGAAACAACTCCAGCTTGTGAACGAAATGTGTGGTTAACTGAAATAGTTCCTTGCTCCACTTTTATAGGAAACCAACCCTGTTCGCATCGGGGGTGTTCCGATGGGATGGCCCATTGCACGGTTTACGCGGGGGAGGGTGCGGAAGGATCGTGAGAGTTTGTTCCCCTCGCCTCCCGCCTCCGCTGCTTTCGATATGCGGGAATGTGCGTGTGTGTATCCACCGCCCACGCCCACCAGGGTGGCTCTAGACGATTGTCTTCCGGATTGCGTGGTTTGCGTTTTCCTGGTGGTGGGCGAACACGTGTTGATGGAAGGAAAGATCATTTGTTTCTCCCACCAGCCGTGATAGCACCTAAACTGGACGGCCGCTGTGGGCCTTTCCGCGGGTCCCAAAGATAGCACTGCAACACTTCCAATTTAGTACAAAATACACCTCACCTCCCGAAACATATAGGCACCCAAGGGAACCAAGGGAACGCAAGTAAGGCATGCACCCAGTCGTTTTGTGGGACTGAAAACACACCTTACACAGGGAAACAGAAAACGCGTGCTCAGCCTTGCAATCTATGCACATGTCCTGCTCAAGGCCCAGGCGGCTCTTTGTCCCTTCAGCCTTGAAGTCCGTCCGTCAGTTGGCTGAACGTTGAGCAAACATCAAATCTTCTCGGTGTTCGCTCCCTCTGATACGTACGTACTGAAGTAGGCAGTGGCCAAGGACAGAAAAAGGCCGGTTAAACTATTTAACGCCCTATGCATACAATACCCCAAAGCCACACACGCCAGCTAAACAGGTCGTCGTTGGGCGGATAAATTCCAAGGTTGGTTGCGGTTCTGGCGTAGGTGCTATGCTACATGGAAGGTTTGCCGTTGGGTGGATGAGTTGGAGGTTCTACATAGAGGTTGTCGGCGCTGATCGAATGAATTTATAAATTTGCTGTGCTGTAGGTCGGTGCTGGCAACGTGGGTGGGTGCTACATACAATTAGGTCGTTGGTGATGCTTCGAGTAGGCTTGTACCATGGTACGTCGCTGTTATAGGTGGTAAACGGTCTTTGTGTAGGCAGCCAGGCAGGTCTATGCAAGGGGGGGCGGACCGTCAAACTCGGGGCCGAGCGCCATCTCGTGCTTGCATCCCCGTGGGTGCATGAAGAGTTTTCTGTTTACAAGCAGAAAATATGCATGCAAACAGCGGAGAAAGACTGTATTGTAGCCGTTCGAGATAAACTCCTCCATGCCCTACATGTCCTACACAGTATCTACATCCATAACCGAGCGCGAGACCCGGCCGATGGGTGAGTAACAAAGACTTTCATTGAGTCGATGTATTTATCCCGCCGGTGGAGTATCGGGCTGCACCGAAAGAGTCAAGGTGGCTCGCAGAATTCCCTGCTTGAGAGTAGGAGCGAGGGACAGACAGCGCAAACCAGCACAGGGTATTTTTCGCCCCAGACGTACCCTACGCGAATTCTCAAGACGAGAAGAATGATATAACATTCGTAATTGGCATGTAGATGAGTATTTTAGTCTGCCGGACCTTTGCACGATCCTAGTATGCATAGGTGCGTTTGGTGGAGACTACGGGGATTCTGCTCTACGGTCAAGAAAAGCAGGGAAAGCGTCAAAAACGCGTGACTTGCTCCCAAAGTTTTCGCGAGCTACCCGCCCGCCGCACATGAAATCTCCTCTCTCCGAACGCGGCGGGAGATGGCCGGGAAACTCTTCGACTTCTAACTACCTAAATATATTGCTCTTTTGGTTAGGGAATGCGTACTCCGTTGTTCCGCGTGGTTACCACTGCAGAAGCAAACAATAGAAGTGGGCCTATTATTCCTAGTATATAGGATTATTTTTTTCGTCCGAGAAAGGTGTGGCCGTCTGTTGGGTATGTTGGCTTGTGACCACGGAAGAAGAAGGCGCCCGTCCGCGTCAGTTGGACTGTTATAGTACGGGTAAGAGGAGGTGCTGAGCGGAGACCGGAACGGTCTTTAATGTGACCACCACAACAACAACAACAACAACCACCACCACAATACACCTGCCTCGGTGGGCGCAAGATCACAGGAAGATGTTCTTTTTTTAATGCGTCGCTAACAACGGGGTCCTGGGTCCAGAGTTCACCTCGTGTGTTGGTCTCTCAGCACGTACTGACGCCTTCGGTTCCTTTGCGATCACGAACGGTTCGATGGTTCATGGCTTGTTGGGGGGAAGCGTTCTCTACTCAGAGAGAACAGCCCTCGGCGGGGGGGCTCTTCCCTCGGCGGGGGGGCTCTTCGATCGTCAATTTGTATCCCTACGCTGCTGGTCCTCGACTGTTCAACCTCTATACGCGGAGCTTGCGAGAGCCTGTGGTGGCGCGGTGAAACTTAAAACCTTTTACACCCCCCGCAAGTTGAGTGTGGTCGTTCGGCACCGCCTCGAGCCTCAAACATAATTCGTGCTCACCCCACCCCACCAAATATGTTGAGACCGCTCGGCAACGTAATGACCCACAACAAAGCAAGAGGTATCTATATGCCCTCGGCCGCCAAAATTGGGCACAGTTGAAGTCTCGAATCGACACGTCGTGCAAGTTGTCCAAAACAGGTGTGTGTGGGAGAACGTTGCGGTGAAGGTTGGAGGTTGAAAGCAGTATAAAAAAACGACGATGGTACTCTGGTTGTACAGGATGACCCGCACCCATCGAGCCGCAAGGCATCCCTTGGCCACGCATCTGAGAGTACAACGCACACAACGCCGAGCCTTACGTGCGCTGGCACGCTCTCTCAATCAATTAGCTGTTCTGGACCGAAACGGCGAAGCAGAAACAACAGTTGTGTACAACGAAACTCTCTTCTGATCCACAGGCGTTCGTTCTTCGATGTCACCATCCCGTTCATCGTCATGACGCACGCGCCTTCAAGGTAGAAACGGACCACACCAGCGACGAAAATCCGGCGGGAGACGACGGTACTATGTATCTACGTTACATTTACGTCGCATCTACGCTTGGAAACAACTCCAGCATGTGAACGAAATGTGTGGTTAACTGAAATAGTTCCTTGCTCCACTTTTATAGGAAACCAACCCTGTTCGCATCGGGGGTGTTCCGATGGCGAATTGCACCGTCTACGCGGGGGAGGGTGCGGAAGGATCGTGAGAGTTTGTTCCCCTCGCCTCCCGCCTCCGCTGCTTTCGATATGCGGGAATGTGCGTGTGTGTATCCACCGCCCACGCCCACCAGGGTGGCTCTAGACGATTGTCTTCCGGATTGCGTGGTTTGCGTTTTCCTGGTGGTGGGCGAACACGTGTTGATGGAAGGAAAGATCATTTGTTTCTCCCACCAGTCGTGATAGCACCTAAACTGGACGGCCGCTGTGGGCCTTTCCGCGGGTCCCAAAGATAGCACTGCAACACTTCCAATTTAGTACAAAATACACCTCACCTCCCGAAACATATAGGCACCCAAGGGAACCAAGGGAACGCAAGTAAGGCATGCACCCAGTCGTTTTGTGGGACTGAAAACACACCTTACACAGGGAAACAGAGAACGCGTGCTCAGCCTTGCAATCTATGCACATGTCCTGCTCAAGGCCCAGGCGGCTCTTTGTCCCTTCAGCCTTGAAGTCCGTCCGTCAGTTGGCTGAACGTTGAGCAAACATCAAATCTTCCCGGTGTTCGCTCCCTCTGATACGTACGTACTGAAGTAGGCAGTGGCCAAGGACAGAAAGAAGCCGGTTAAACTATTTAGCGCCCTATGCATACAATACCCCAAAGCCACACACGCCAGCTAAACAGGTCGTCGTTGGGCGGATAAATTCGAAGATTGGTTGCGGTTCTGGCGTAGGTGCTATGCTACATGGAAGGTTTGCCGTTGGGTGGATGAGTTGGAGGTTCTACATAGAGGTTGTCGGCGCTGATCGAATGAATTTATAAATTTGCTGTGCTGTAGGTCGGTGCTGGCAACGTGGGTGGGTGCTACATACAATTAGGTCGTTGGTGATGCTTCGAGTAAGCTTGTACCATACGTCGCTGTTATAGGTGGTAAACGGTCTTTGTGTAGGCAGTCAGGCAGGTCTACGCAAGGCGGGACGGACCGTCAAACTCGGGGCCGAGCGCCATCTCGTGCTTGCATCCCCGTGGGTGCATGGAGAGTTTTCTGTTTTATTTATTTTTTTCTTAATGTGACACAACGAATGAATCCATCTCTATCATAGAAGAGAGTCAGAGACAGATTTTTGCCCCCCCAGACGCTGTCGGCTCGAATTCTCAAGGCGAGCAGAATAATACAACATTCGTGTTGGGATGCACAAGAAGTTTCACACGATGAGAATTTTAGTCCTTCAGACTATTGCAGGATCCCAAGTAGGTCTTCTTGTAGGCATAGGTAGGTTCTGGTGCAGACTATTTGTACGGAGGTTCAGGACTGTCGTCAAGAACAGGGAGGAATACGCCAAAAACGGGTGATTTGCTGTGGCTTTTCGCGAGTAACCCGCCCGCCGCACATGAAATCCCCGCCCGCGGCACATGAAATCTCCTCGATCTCAACTCAGCTGGAGATGGCCGCGGGAAACTCTTCGGCATCTATCTGAATGCATACAAGCAACTAATAATTAATGTTGCTCTTTTCGATAGGCCATGTGTATTCCGTTGTTCCGCGTGTGGCTACCACATCAGGGAACTCAACCAAGCGAGTAACCAACAGTGAGCTTTGTTTACCCTACTCAAGTTTTCAGATGGGTGCACGTTTTGCCCCTGAAAAGGGCAATAATAGTCCAGTTGTGTGTGCATACGCTCTTGGTTCATCATGTGCATCAATCAACGTAGACCTTGCAGGCAACGAAACAAAACTGGTCATATGATTTACTTGTACTGCTTGTGATTTCTGCCGTGTTTTTTATGGGCCATCTCCTCTTCTGATGTAATATTGCCAGTGTTGTACAAGTACGCATAGTGTCGTCACTCGTAAAGGCACTGGGGACACCTGGTTGGTACGTTCGGCATGCCTTTCTACACTCCACAGCATGGAGCCACAAACCACACAGAAGAAGAGGAATAACGACACGCACAAGAAGTACTGAGCAGAGAGAACGGAACGGTTTTTTAATGTGAAGGCAACAACAACAACAACAACAACAACAAACACCCACCCGCCAAAGTTGTGTACTTGTTGTGCCCTCCTTCCCGTCAACAGGGGAGTACCAAAGTTCAACAACAGGTGGGTGTAAGGCAGGCAATAGTAGTTGTGCATGCATGCGCGCGTCAAGCACGATTACGTGGTGGAATATCATACAACAACCTCTCTCATGTGGACGTGCCTCTCTTCTTTTCTTTGCCCACCTGTTTGATGATGAACGAATCCCCCCCAGCCGACCATGACACGATGTCGTCCGATGTGTTATCGATCAATCTGAACGTCCGCTCCAGAAACACAGGGATTTTGCTGTTGAAAGGCTCAATCTCGGGCGAAGCCTCCCAAGCAGCGGCGCAACTCCCCCCTTCCATGGCTTCTGGAGCACCCTCAGGTAGCTGAGGTGATTACCGCGCAACGAATTCTAGCTCCAAGGGGAACAACCAGAGATGACTGCCGCACTGCCGTTTAGGGGGTTTTGGGTTTGGGCGACGCAACGACCGTTGATAGATGGTTTTAGGCGAGAAGAAGTGGCGACGACTCATCAGGATTCCTCTTGCCTTCGCGGCACGTGACGGCCGCGAACGAGAGAAGTTGCCCCGTGGTGTTCAAAGTGACGGCACTTGTTGCTTCGTTTCTTCTCGGGACGGCAAACGTATTGCAATACGTAAAGATCTAATATTTTGTGATGAAAGTTATTGGCAATGTGCCTCTCTCTGTAAGTGCAATATATAATAGTTTTGGGCGCACTTACTTTTCGTCATAAGATGGGATAGAGGCATCAATCAAAGCATCAAAGACACAACGCGTCCAACAACAGCAGGATCGACGACGTCTAGAGCGGTGTCTCGCAACCATACCAAACACGTGTCGCCGTCCTCGCCCGGTGGGGCGATCGATTGATGATATACATCAGAAGGAGGAGGCGAGAAAAGAAATAAGGCGTGTGCCTTTGTGACTCGTGTATTATCCAAAATTACACGACATCATCACAAGCTTGTTGAGAGTGTTCTGACTTATTAAGAAAATGCCCCCCAGGAAAGCCCCTTGTGGAACCTGGCTGCTTCATTTTCGTTTTCTCCCCCGACACTTTCGTATCACAACATCACAACGTATCGACGACGTCCCGTCGGCTGTGCAATTTGGTCCAAATGAAGTTTGGTCCAAATGAATGAAGCCCTTTCTCGCGGGAGCCTCCACGTGAGAAGACCCCCTCTAAACTCCAAACTCGATTCGGGGGAATTAATTCCGAGACGGCCGAGTGGGAGATGTAGGCATATCCTACCTCTCTTACTCGGTTTGATCATTCATGGCAGCAACCCTGCAGTTTTTCGTTTTTCGGGACGGCAAATCGGGGTATTTAAAACCCGGTTCAGCAAACGTCCCGTGGAACTGCGGGTGCGAGGCGGGATAATAAACAGCAGCAGCACAGCAGTACTACTGCTGTAGTCACCTCGAACGGTGTTCTTTGTTTGATGTCCCAACGTCTACCGTCTTCCGCTCGCTGTACAAGTAGTAAGATAATTTGTTTCACCGAACCGGTATGAATTTGATTTTCAGCAGGATATACGAGGTTTATGTTGTTAACTGGATACGACCACGGCTGGTTCCGCCGCCAACGCCGGCGGGTGCTTCCGCTAGCCGCTTTGCGTTACGTGAAGTGTGCGATCTACCAGACTCCAAGTTTCAAAACTCCAACCATGTCTTCCTCCTCTACCTCCTTGTGCATCATGCCTGCCTCATGCGAAGTCCACCCTCTGGCCACAGGGAATCATGAGTCAGGGTGTCATATCCGTCATGTGGACGCATACATGTGCGTGTGTGTATGCATACGGCGCACTACAAAAGTATAGCGTATCTTCATGACAATTTGGTACACAAAACATGCCCCCGCCGGTATCAGCCTGACAACAACTCGACCCCACTACTACTGTACATCAGCAATAGACTGCTGTATGTATGTCTCTCCTGCCCTTGATTCGCGATGTGACCCACATCATCATCAGGCCGACGCGTACCTGTAAAGTCCAATCGGCACTCAGATTCTGGGTTGCATCGTCTCACACACGCAGTTTATGTACTACGCTACGCTCAGCCACATCAAAACCAAATGGATTTTTTTAGAGAAAGTATACAAATAGTATCGAGGAAGAGCTGTCCATTGGAGGCTGGCCTCAAGGGAATGTTTTGAAGTCTACTGTACTTGACAGCAGTGAAGCTTGAGTGACGATCGATGTACTGAGCTGGAGAACCGCGGGCCGGCGGTGGTGTGTCGAACATTTTACATTTTCTTTTTTTCGGAAGCATGTATGTGATTGGTTGACGGTCGACAGTGCGACTGCGGCCATCAAGGGAGGGGAGAGGGGAGAGACGAGGAGAGGGAGAGAGAAAGGGAGAGAGAGACAGGCTGCTTGGAAGGAGGGCAGGAGAGGTTGATCATGCCAATCCGATCAGGGGAACGAGAAGGCGAAGGCGAGAGAAATACCAAGCCAGGTGTCGGCGTCCTTACAATGTAGGCATCCATTTTCAACCTGGCAACATTGTTGCTTCTTCGCGAGATGCACCTACGTAATAACGACATGTCTCTATCACGTGCTTTCTCTACATACCGTAAGGTTGCTAGTCACCGCACCGCCCGGAGTCTTCGCACGGTCCGGAGTCATCGCACGGAGGGGTGCGATGCAAATTAAATGGCTTAGTCTAGGGTTATTCGAGTCCGCACAGGGTCCGCAGTCGCCGCACAGGGGTGCGATGACTCGCAACCTACAGCGGTAGGTACAAAAGTTGAGTGCCAGCGATTTCGGGGCAAATTTCACCCCTGCAACACATGCTGGCATGTTAGCTCTGCTGTAAGGGTACTGTAGGTCATCGTCGCACACCACACGCGGAGGTACTATTTTAATAGATAGGGCGGGGTAATGAGCGGCGGGGTAGCGACTCAATACCTTGCAGTAGTCTATCTGCGATGCTTTTGCGGTGGCCCAGTCAGTCGTTGAGTTTTGAATCCGAGTCATCATCATCAACACAATAAAAGAGGCTCTTCCTCCTCTCTCTAATACAATCTGCAACGAACGGACGGCCGTTGGGATTATTATTGATTCGTGCGCATACCGTAAACTACGGAGTTTATTTATTTTATTTTTTTTCTTAATATGACACAACGAAACCATCTCTATCATAGAAAAGAGTCTGAGACAGATTAGCAATGGATTCATAGCGTCAGAAAGTACCTGTATGTCCACGATTTCCCAGACAGCATATAGGGACATCTCCCCTGCGGGTAACAGGCTCAACAAGACAGTTTGGTAGCTGTCTTGTGTGTCTCATATATGGTATGTTGGGAAGGTGCAGATGATATGTGTTAGGTACTGGTCGGGCGTTATTGTATTTTTCCGAAGTGTCATTTTTATTATTATTTTCCACGAAGTCTGGAAGGTAACTCTCTGGCCAATAACGAGGGGACGACACCGGTCGCTTCCCTCTCTCCTCCAGAGTCCAAGTTCCCCTTCCATGTCAACTGGCAGGCCCTAACAAAATGCCGTCTCAGTACACCGAGACCCCCAATGGTACTCCATACCATTGACATCCACCTCCCCAATCGGACCCTCATAACCCAGTTCCCCGTGGAATAATAGCAATCATAATCGACATGTCCCCTATATATGTATCCTCCCGGTACACATACCTTAGTAATCGCCCCCCCCCCCCCCAAGCAACAAATGAGTAACCGCCCCCCCCGGGTACGAAGCGAAGACCACTTGGAGATATACGGGAAGCTGAAAGAAGGGATAGGGATGAAGAAGTACTTGGACGGCCCCATGGACTATGCGAAAAAGCTGAAATTGCAATTTCGAGTAGGCGATCTGGACTTGCCAGAACGGAGGAAGAGGTATACCAGCCGTAGGAGAGAGGAAGAGGAGGATAGACACACATGTCCATGTGGCAAATCGGAGGAGAGTAGACCCCACATAGTTGGGGAGTGTGAGTTGTACAGGAAGGAAAGAGAGGATCTCGAAGAGGAAATGAGACAGAGAGGGTGTGACATGGACAAGTTTGGTAAATTAGACAACAGCGAAAAAACGATCGCGATAATTGGGGATAGATGGTGGGCACAAGAGGCCCTAGAGGACGGGGATAAGATGTGCAAGAAATTTTTATGGAGTTTGTGGCAGAAACGTAAAGAGCTCCCAAATGTTGGTGGTGTTCTCTAGTAGGTGTAGGAACGGTGCTCCGTCTCGAAAGGGACGCGTGGTCAATGGTCAAATGACTACGGCAAGCAACAAATGAGTACGCCCCCCCCCTCTATCGGAAAAAAAATTCGAGGGTGGCGTGGGTGGGAAAGACAACAACACTAGCTCCCCGGAACAGAACGTCTTAACAGGTAGTAGCTGGCAGTGTTGTCCACTCGTACGTTTAGCAGTCCCTGTGCTCCAGCACTGATGATGCTTCAACGTGATCGGGCGCAAACGGAATGTCCTGCGAGCAGCTGCCTTCTCTCGGTGCGCATGCCTCCTCTTCTATACGCACGCAGACATCCTCTTTGGCACATAATAATAAATGCTCACTTCTCATCAACTCCAATAAACACCAATTTCAGACTCCTCCCCCCTTAGGTTGGATCCATCTGAAATACTCGCTTTATTGTATTTTTCCGAAGTGTTATTTTTATTATTATTTTCCACGAAGTCTGGAAGGTAACTCTATGGCCAATAACGAGGGGACGACACCGGTCGCTTCCCTCTCTCCTCCAGAGTCCAAGTTCCCCTTCCATGTCAACTGGCAGGCCCTAACAAAATGCCGTCTCAGTACACCGAGACCCCCAATGGTACTCCATACCATTGACATCCACCAACATCGACGTTTAGTGGGATGGCATTCTGTCCCCTTGCCCGTACCTTCGTGTATGCTAACCCTTCTTCTGCTCCGTCTTCTTCCCCTTCGCTGGTTTACGGGATACCATGTCTACGTCCACCATATTGTTCCTAGTATATATTTTAAACGTACCCGAACCTTCCTTCCATCTACCCTCTCTCTGCATAATTCTGTCCGGTACGTCTCCTCCTGCTGCCAACGTGGTGGCGGCCCCAATTCTCAACGAATGCAAGCCGACCTGTCTCGGGTCGCCACTTGCCTTCTCCACAATCTGGCGAAGGGCGCTAAGAGCTTTGGAATAACCCCAAACCTTAACCGTATTGCTCCTCCTACAGCGAAACGAGCACAGAGGGGCGTCCTCAGGTAAAGCGAGATGGCACGCCATCAATTCCACCAACACCGCCACGGCACCGCCACCGGCTCCAATCTGAGAACTCGCGCCTCGTGCTACATCGCGCACCCGTGTAACGCACGCCCCCGTCTCCGACTGATCCCCCTTGTG